CAGAAGTGAGTAATTTTTCTTTCTTTCCTGGAATCGGAATTGGTTTGAAGCAAGTAGCTTCGCTGATGGAAATATTTGAAATTGAATAGAAGGAAGTAAAAAGCTCGAGCAGCTCAAGTTAATTATTTTTTGTGAAAAAAAATATTGATTGGAAACATCTATTATTTACAAGAATACTAATGGAAAATATTTATGAATTTCACTAGCGAGAAACACTCGATTAAAAAAATACTGCTTATAATTACTATTTAAGAAATACTCATTGAATATGTTCATGATTTACAAGAATATTGATTGGAAGTATTTATGATTGACAAGGAAAGAGATTGCAAATATTACAGAAATACTCATAGAAAAATATTGCTTATAATAACTATTTAAGAAATGCTCACTGAATATGTTCATGATTTACAAGAATACTGATGGAAAATATTTATGATTTTCACTAGCGAAAAACACTCGATTAAAGAAAAATACTGCTTATAATTACTATTTAAGAAATGCTCATTGAATAAGTTCATGATTTACAAGAATATTCATTGGAAGTATTTATGATTGACAAGGAAAGGGATTGCGAATATTACAGAAATACTGATAGAAAAATACTGCTTATAATTACTATTTACGAAATGCTCATCGAATATGTTTATGATTTACAAGAATACTGATGGAAAATATTTATGATTTTCACTAGCGAAAAACGATTGCAAATATTACAGGAATGCTTATAGAAAATATTTATGATTTTCGCGAATAATAGCGAAAAGCATTTAAGATATATAAAACTACAGCTTATAATTATGATTCAAGTAAATACACATTCTAATACTCATTGAAAATACTTATTATTATTTTTAAGAACATTAATATTTACATTATATTTATGATTTTCATGAATATTAATAAAACTATTTATATTTTACAAGAAAACTGAATTGCAAATTTTTAATAAATTATATTTGTGATTTTCAGGAATATGAATGAATATATTTATGATTTAAAGGAATACTGAATGAAAATATTTTAGCATTTACTAGTATACTGACTGAATATATTCATGATTTGAAAGAAAACTCTTAAAAAATATTTATAATTTGTAAGAACACTTATGAAAGAAAAATTGTCGCAAAGAATGCTTATTTGAAATATTTATGATTTACAAAAATGAAGACTACTCATATAAATAAAAACTTTGTTAGCATTTATAAAACTAAAAAAAAAAAGAACTAATAACATCTAAAATTTCTTTAATAAATATCAGATTAGTAATACGGCTTCATACGGATGTAAGCAAAAAAATATATTTCTCTTTTAAAAATAATTCTTTATCTGTAATAAATAATAAGTTAATGTTTATGAGTTTCGCAAGTAAATAGGCCAAATAAATTATTTCTCGTTCTCTACGATTCACATTCTGTTCAGGACAAACTTTAGAATACTATGAATGAACTTATTTTAGTTATTGTGTTTATGAGTCTATAATTATCATAAAAAAATTATTAAAAATTGTTATTATTGTCTTTATGCGTCTATTATTATAAGAATTATGATACAGGTTCTATTTGCCGAGACATTCTCTGAACTTCAAATAATAATTGGAAAAGTAGAAATTATATTAATTTTATTGGGTAAATTGTCCAAATAAAATTAATTTAATTAATAAGCCATTTAATTAATACGCCATTTATAAAATATTGTATTATTGTCATAAACTTTGAAAAGCCTTCTTTTTCGAGGCACACAAGCGCTATACTTTGGTTATGAAACGTAAACCGTACTACATTTGAAACGAGAGACATGTTGTGATTAATAGACTCTGTTGCAGCATCTTTGTTTCTGTTCTTATTTTTATTAGACGTTTATGTATGCTGTTACTGTCTAAAATCTGCCATCGGAAATTAAAAATAATTCATTTGAAACTTTTGGTATATAGTAATTATATTGTGATGGAAATGAAATTTCGAATGTTACATAAATATTTTTGTATAATGATTCTATAACTATTTTTGTTTGTTTTGTAATGTGAAAAATAAATTCATTTTAAAAACATAATGCTTCATTAACTGTTAAGTATTATCTGTTAATTATGTTTTGTCATGTCACTAGAAATACTTATGGATTCAAATGTAGACAAGGAAGATTTATGCAGAAAAGGTTGCATTAGCAGAAAATGGTTTTATGCAGAAAAGATTGATTTATGCAAAATAATGTTTTATCGTAATAATTTTCGTCGTGTAACTCGATAAAATGGAATTGAATTAAAAAGGAAATTGGAATTAAAACGAAACAAGATATGTCTAAATTAAACTAAGGCATCATAAAAGAATTTTATCTAAAGTAAAATGATTACTGATTGAAGTCGTATTCTTTTAAAATAAAAATATCTTTATTAATTATAGCCACTTTTTATAAAGCGGAAAACACAATATTTGATGAACTATAATCAAGCCCAACTAAATTAAGAATTAATTTAGTAGAAGTCATTAAATGTTTTAACCATTCTTTCCAACTCATAATTGTAAATTGAGAATTTTATTCTGCAATCGGGATACAAATAACGATATTATTTAGCATGGAAGATTTAAAAAAAATCTTCCAATTATCTTTCAACTTTATTCTCGCAAATAAATAAAAATAATAATTTATGACTTAAAATAGCGAGTTTAGATGTATATCAGAACTTAAAGATAAAATCATTTGTCTGACATTTCTTATTGTTATTATGCGCTATCATGCGAAAACTGATTTAATTTTTGAACCTTCTAAGTTTTGGCATCTATTAGTAAAGATATACATTCAGTGAATAAATATTACTTCCTTAATAATGGTTTTCGTAAATATTTTATTTACTCTGTACAATTAGGGTTACATTATAAAAAGTTTTAACTTTTGACAACGGCAGTCAATAACAAACAAACCAAATATTTCATAATTTATATTTCTCTCCCATAATGCTAGTAAGCAGGCATCAAAAACAATATGAAGTATTCGAAGATAGAAAAAAAAACTAAGAATTTATAAGTAAATGTTAAGAGAGTTAATGTTATGTGAAAGAACTTCAGTAATCTTATTTTGTCAGAGTTTTCACACATGAAGGTTTAGCTATTGGCATATTTATTCGATAAATATATCACCATCTTCTTTTTTTTATTATTATTTTAACGCGCATGCGTACTCACATCCTCTCAAGTAACTCCGTCCCAAAAAGGTTTGCATTCAATATCAATCACAATGCAGAAGAAATCCCCTGGACTTTTCCCTAAAATCCAGCGATGACAGGGGAAAATAAGGATTTCCTTTCGAACGCGTTGTTGATTTTTCTTCTCAAATGTGGCGACGTTTTCCCTTCGTAAAGACACACATATCGATTTCGGCAAACACATATGCCCCAAATCATACATTCTTTTTTTCTTGTTCAGAATAGAAAAAAATATAAGATGGAGAGGAAAGAAAATCGAAACTTCGTCGCATATCATAACAAAAGCCATATATCTTAGATTCCTCCAGTGGCCATTTTCATTCAGAATGTATTAAGCGAGTACATTTGGAAGTTGAACAAACGATATCTCGCGTGCTTTGGGAATTTAAAGCTTCCAGCTCCAAATATCCAAATTCATAAAGTCATAACGGCCGCTCCTTCAGAAATCTAAAATTGAATGAAGAATGTGTTTTCGGTTTGCAATATAATTCCAACGTGGCAAAAATGCAATAAACGGAAAGCAGCAATAAAAATCCCCAATCACTGAATGTATGGGATTGGGTGAAATGCAATGAAGTAAAATTTTCTATCGTCACCGCATTGATAGGCACTTGCTCAAACTTTCGAATTGTTTGAGTTATTTCAGACACTTTTCTACTTCAGAATATATTTATCTCATGAGAGTGATATTGTAGCATATTCTAGAAAATTTTCTACGTCTGAATGAGACATTCTTTATGGAAACTTTAACGAGTTTGTAGAAAATCAGATTTGTGATATGAAAAACTGTCTTTGAACTGCTTTTTTTTATTCTTATTTGCATAAAATAGTGTTTTAGATGTATTTCAACCTTTTAAATAAATTTAATCAACTAGTAAAGTTAAAACCTTATTTTTAATATTTCTCACTTAGTTAATAATCTGAATCCTATTTTATTTTACTAACAACATTGAAATATCAAGATATGTGGCTTTAAAAATGTTTAAAAGAAGATATTAATAAACATGCTGTAACTATAATTAAACTAACTCGAATGTATATCTGCTAACTACTGCGATGACAAAACGTGAAAATTAGGGGTAATTTGCTTACAAACTGTGCTACAAAGAATGCGGTTTTCCTATAGGCCGTCTTTGATATTGAAGACACTACTGGACGTATTGCATCTTTTTTTAAAAAAATACTTTATTAAGATTTTATTGAATTACTGCGAAGTACTTTATCTTTACTAAAAATTTTGTATTTCAAATAAAAATCCATCTCTTCGTAATTTTATCATTTTATTTATTTAAACTTATAGCAAGTTTCTCCAAAATTATTTTTATTTTAACGTTTGTTAATTTTTCAAAATCTTAATGTAAGACTATTAAATTTGTTTAATATTATAAAAAATTTTAAAAATATTTAATACTATTAAATACTTGAGAAAACTAACATTATTGCTCGCAAAAGGACGCTTGGAACAAAGAATTTACCAATTATTCAAAGTAGCATAGAATTCATTAAGTAACTGATATATTAATATTTCAGAGAGAAAAATTAGTGTTCTTTTTTTAAAACGAAGCATATTGCTAAATTAAAAATTTATAAGATCAAACTAAGATGCACCTTGTAATTAGTAATTTGAGGATAGTTACACCACCATATGCATAAACTAAGCTTACCGTCTTATTTTTCACGTTTGTTGCATAAAAAAGTTTTTAAAAAAATCCTAGCTTGATAATGCATGAAAAATGCATTGAATTAGTAAATGGTTTCATGTAAAACTGGAAACCTGAACTGCTCTTCTCTTTTCTTTCAGCCTCGCCAGGAAATAAGCTTTCTTCATTTTCTGGAACCAGGGACGTGGTACTTTTCCATTATTAATGATGATAGTACAGCAATCGGTGTTTCATTTCAGCCATCCCTCGCAAGTAAGTATTAAATAAAAGAAATGTGTCTTAAATATTTACAAAGCAACTTTCAACTTTCTGGGATAACTGTGACAGGAAATAAGACACGTTATAATATCCATTTATCATTCTTCGAGACACATGGATTGAATTTATATGTAATTAAATCAATAAAAAAAATTTATTATCCCAAAATAATTAATAAAATCTAATATTAACTAATCATTCTTTATTAAAAATCAGTCTGGAAAAAAGAACTAGTAAATAAATAATTTATGATACCATAGTTGCAGAAATTTGACTTGCACACTAAACCTATGTATAAACTTCAAAATGTTCCAAATAAAATTATGATATAAAGTACCGCAATTTGGTAAAGTATAAAGTACCGTCGGTAAAATCCCTATTACTTTGAAATCCATTTTTACAGTTTAATGTTACACCGTCATTTTTCCCGTAATGGTTACATAATTGCTTGATAGTGATTCTTAAATTAATGATTATTCAATTCATAGTGATTATTTGATTAATGACTATTTAATTCATAGTGATTCATAAATCTTACGTTAATTATTGCTTTAAAAATTAAGGAATATAATATTTTTGTTCCGTAACATACTCTGGTAAAAATAGACTTTATGGCATAAAGTACCACCTCCTGTATATAGCATAATAAATAAGAACAAGAAAACATGAAGAAAATTAAGAAAAACAATAAGTATTATATATTGCGCATCAGCTGCAAGTAAATAGAAATCATAAAATAAGTTCAAAATGTAGAGAAAACAAAGGAAAATTACATAACAATGAAAAAAGGGGAAAAAAGAAAAGTAATAATAAAAATAAAAATAACAAAAAACCGGAATAATTTTGCGGATATAATCGTGTGAGCTGCTGAAAAGATTATATCTTTTATTTTCGGGATTTTTTAAAAATGTTTGTCCTTTTTTTCCGCTTTTTTGTTATTTTTATTATTATTTTTCTTTTTTTCCACTTTTTTCATTGTTCTGTAATTTTTCCCTTGTTTCCTCTACATTTTGAACTTATATATATATGCGTGTATATATAAGTACATTGTCTGACATTTTTCAAAAGAAAATATTAAAAAGAAGTAAAGTGTTAGTTAATGAAATTCGAGGAAGAATTCTCGTAAGCACGCCTCGAATGGATTAATCAACTAATGCAACAATATATGATTAATGAAATTTTGTTCATTAGTGAAAAATGCTATTTAAGTATTGATGCTTTCAAACCATTACCTTTATCTAATCTTAATTTTTCCATCAACTTTTGAATTGTCATTGAAAAAAATGAAGCACACCACTGCATGAAGTTTAAGCAGTGTTTCAGGATTCTATTAAAAGTTATTGACGCACCAATTGTGCCACGCCCATAATAAGCCATTTTTTCCACCTTCTCTCATCCATATTTTAAGTGAGCGTGCGAACAACCCGTTTACGTCAATGTCACAAATTCATAGTATTAGAAGAAAAAAAGTATAACTAATTCACAGATAAAGCTGTATCTACAACTCTTTATTCAATATTCCGTGCAAATAATATTTGTGAATTCTTTATCCCTGCTAATTAGCTAGATTTTTCTCTCCCACACTTTTATGGATGGCATAAAAAAAGTCTTGAGACACTTTCTTTATTTTCCATCACATTTTTGTCATTAGTATTTCTTTGGTTTCTAATTAAAGTTCATTATGGTGTCTTTCTGCAGGGGACGTGCCGACGTCGTGCCCAAACAATTGTCATCACCATGGAAACTGTCATCTGGGCAAGTGCCACTGCTTTCCCGGATACATTGGACATGATTGTGCTGACAGTAGGTGTTAACTCTCGTTTGCTTTTATGTAGGACTCCCTCTTATGAGCTACTTTTATTCGGGAAAAGCTGGACGGAAGAACTGATTTTTTTCATAAGGAAATGAATGACTGTTTTAATAAGCAGCCAAGAACTACTTAATGAGTTCCATGATTAAATTATATATTAGGATTTGATATTAAGTGAAATTCGATACATGCACAAGGATACATAAGAAAAGTTCGAGAGCATATGCCGCGTTTATAAATAATTCATATTATGTAATTTACTTACTCAGTATTAGAAATAAATGACATATCGTAAACTTCTAATGCTTTCAAAAATTGCAATAAAGATATATGTAAATATTAAATATTTATTTGCAAATTAATACATCGTGAATATTAATTAATTAATTAATGCATCTTGCATTATGATGGATATAGTATACAAGATAATTAGCGAGATCTGAAGTGCCCATTTTTAAAAAAAAACTATACATATAGAAATTAGATACTAGAGGGAGTATTTTTGATACCTTCAACTATAAATTTATTAGTTTCTCAATCATTATCAACAGTGATAAATAATGATAATATCTTGAGATTTATTAATCAGTGTAATTAGCGAACGCAATTTTATCGTGAGTGATGATAAAATTTATTTCGAAAACAAATATACAACATATTCTGCAACTCAGTAAATTAGATAAGTTGGAAAATATCACAATGCATAAATATTATTAATAATGTATTACAATTTAAAAAGTGGGATATCGCCAATCATTATAATTCGTTATGCGGTATTGCACTAATTTATAAGATTTGTGTTTCGTCCTGAAATTAGAGCATTTGCCTCTCCAAGAACGTGATTTCGTGATTGTACCTTCACGGCCTACGATATCATATATAAAACGAGACTTTCAGACTCTAACGGCACAAAATCTCACAGACACGGTCTCAATGCAGTGTTCTTATATTACATCTCGTATTACTACGCATACGTACTCTTAAGAAATATACTCTAGCAAAATGCTGATTCAGGGAGCGACGATTTTCCACCCCAGACGTTTAACGAACTACTCCCGTGTTTAACATAAAGAAAAAAACTTGATTCTTGACATTTTATTAGTTCATGTAACAAAATTTAAAAGAAATAAATGCTTGCGTTATAATTGGAACCAGCTACAGTTTCAAGGTTAAAATTTCCAAAAAGGAGAGGGAATCGTTAAAAGCTACTGGATTGTAAATTAACGTCCGAAGAAGAGCTTCTTTTTCGTTCTACCGGTACTGAAGGAGTTAAAAGACACAATAGTCTTACATTAAATTAATCATTAAGCTTTCGGTTCGAAAGAAATGGAACGGTTGTAAAATATAGAGGCTTTGTTTAGAAATATTCTGCTTTATTTCTGATGTTAATTTCAGGTGTTAATATACAGGTCCATATACGAGCTATATAATATATATTAATATACAAGCCATAGCAATGCATAAGAGATTGTATAACCAACAATTCAAAGCGATTGTTTTTTTCTCTTTTAACATACTAAGTTTCTGAAAACGAAATTTTTGACTTGCTATAAGTAATAAAAAATGACGCATAACTGGGAATTTATCAACAGTAAAAATGATTGAGACAAGGTTAAAAAAATTAATGCTTTAAAAAAACTAAACTCTATATTTTCATGTTTCTTGAATAACCTTATGTTTACTTCTATATACCTTTACATATATCGCAGGTTCTATTCATTGTTTCCAAAGATTCTAGCATAGATCAAGAAAAGATGAAACATGTGACAATTGCAAACTGACAAATTAAAAAAAAGCTAAGGAAACCGTATGGGCAGCTATTAGAAAGCATTTGATTGAATATAGAATTTAATCACACACAAGCCGGACTGAACTGTACTAAGTCCAACTTAAACAATGAATTTTCATGTAGATTAGAAATGAGCTAATTTATGCTTGTTTAAATTTCTTTTATGCTTGTTTAAATTTCTTTCGACACCTTTAAAAAAATCACAGATTATGGTTGTCACACTAAACAAGCAGAATTTTTTTCCTGCAATTGTTTTTCTTGAGCGTGAGCTTTTGAACACTGTCAGGTGATCAAAGTCATTTGAGATCCCAAATAAAGGTAAATTTGCAATGAAAATTAGAGAATTGGTGAGCAACAGCGAAGGGACAAAGGCCTTAAATTATTTTAAAGCATGGAATATATTCATAGATAAATGTTAAAGATGAAATTATAATAATGTTAATGTGAATATTAAAAGTCCTCTTTCGTCATCTATTTCGACGGTACACAATTTATATTTTTGTAAAATAAAGAATTCTTTATTTTCATTCTTTTTAAATCGAACATTGTTATGTAAATAAAAGTATTAAGCAAAGTATGCCCAATTACTATGAAGAAAAAGAATCATGTTTGCTCTACGCAAATAAAATCTTTTTATTTCTGTCTATAACAAAAATTTTATAAAACCGACGAAGTTAAAGTGTTTACTTAAAGCTTATTTTTACTTAATTTTTTTATTGAATCTTTCATAACATTGCTTAAAGCATAAAGTGGTTAAGTGAAAGTTTTTTTGTACACAACCAGAGCATAATTATTCATTTATTATCATTTAGTTGTGGAAATTTATTTTGGTATCATTCTTTTCTTTCATTCATTTCTTTGCTTCTGTATAATTTAATGCAAAATTTTAATCAACTTGTAAAGTAATGAAAATATCACATATGCAATTACATGATTCACAAAATTAAACTGCATTTGTTATAGTTCTTTTGCAAAATCACATTGTAATGTAAGACTAATATTTAATAATAAAAATATTGATGGAATATTTTATATTGGAAATATTTCAGTGACGATTCAGTAGTATTATTGTCTTTATAATTATTTTCATTATTATTTTTATTATTATTATTATTACATTTGAGTATTATATTATACTTTACAATCTTTAATTTTATAGTGAATATTTTATATTACACCAATAATACAATTTTCTTAAGTAGATAATATAAATATTAACGTTATTTTTATGACTAAATTTATAACGTAAGGCAAGTTTTAGTTTTAAATGAACTTTATCATATGGTCGGTGAACATTTTATTTTGACCATAGCTTAAAATGTGCTTTTCAGTAAATGAAAATAGTTGTTTTAATTGAAAAAGCCCGTTTAAGAAATGAATACTGCTAGATCACGTAGCTCAAAGTTTTGTACACAAGAGCTGGATACTAATCATTCTAATGTTAAGCAATAAACATAAACTTTCAAAACTTCCGTTAGTGTTGAAAAAAAGCACGTGGCAAATAAATATAGAAATTCGCTAATTTTTTAACATGATTAGTAAGCAATATTTACATGATTAGTAATCTATTTTGAGTAAGCCAAGCCCGTCAAGTATCAATTCTCTTAAGTGTCCCATTCTATATTCTTTCACAAATATTTAAATTCTTTTACTATATATTTCTTACTTAACACAAATACAGGCACGAAACAATGTAAGGAACAAATTAATTATGTATCGAAAATGCCAGGTACAGGAAACAGAAATATATCATGGTTACAACAAAATACCTAAGCATATAATAAATCTAAGTTAAGTAAAAGACGTAGACGACAAGGAATTATATTTCAGCAAATTCGATGTGCAATTCGCCGCTGTATTTAATTAACTTCACGTTAACTAACATTCTAACTTATGTGTAGAAACTTAGCTCAACTTTAACAAGGCAATATGCTTATACTGTGACCTTCTAATTATTGAAATGCAAGTTACCGCACATGAAGCACGCCATTTGTTCATTCATTTTTTTAAAAAAAATTATAAATTTGTATCGATTACTTACATACCTTAGTACCAAATGTGAATAAATAAAATTAAAATAAGAACTATTCAAAAAACAATGCAATAAAAATCTGTTTAAAATTACAGTTTCAAGTTCCCCTGTGGAATCGTTTAGTACTGTCAAATATATTCAAGTGGACTTTCTGAGCAATCTCACAAAGCTATATTAATTGCTTGCAGGTGTCTGTCCCGTTCATTGCAATGGCCATGGCAGATATGTCCAAGGAATTTGTCGATGTGAAACAGGTTGGAAAGGAGCCGAGTGTAATGTTCCTGTTACAGAGTGTGAAGTAATGGATTGCAACAATCAAGGATTTTGTGTTGGAGGAAAATGCCAATGTCGCGCTGGTTACAAAGGACACCACTGTGAAGAAGGTTAGCGACTTCCTTTTTGATGGATTAAATTCATTTAAAAGTAGAAATGTTTTTATTGTTTTTAATTTTAGATTGTAGTCGAATAACACGCGTAAGCCTTTCTAAGCTTATAATTTTCATCTTGAATAATAATAGCTCATTCATCATTCAGTGTATCCGTCATAGTCTTAGTGTAGAGAGAAAGAATTTTCGGAAACGTTACGGTACTGTATAATAATGACATTTCTAGTGAAAAAAAACATAATTCTATTTAATAACACGGCATTTAAACAAATTAATTTTGGTAATTTTACCACTCATATGCTGACGGTATACCGAAAATACAAGTTTTAAACATTACGGTATTATCACCACGCATTTAGTTGTAAATACTTAACTAAAAAGTAAATTCAGCTAAATAAATGTTTTTTTGTGCCATGTTCGAAAGTATCATGCTCAAATTACCAAAGTTAACCATATTTAACCAAGCAGCATGGTAAAAAATATTTTATTGTTAATTTTACCAAAAAATCATTTTCAAAGCGCTTCGGTAAAAATTACCGAGCTTCTTGGTGTTCCCAGAGAAACAAATTTTACAGTTATCTGGTTGAATTTTACAGTTTTCTTGTAGCTTTTAACTATGCATTTTTCTCAGTGTGCACTTTTCATTTGTGACCTACCAAAAGTGCACCGCAGAATATGGACACGCTGTCTATTTGCTTTACGTAGCACCAAAAAAGATTGCATTTCTCCAAGTTGGTAAAGCGTGATTGCGTTTATTGTTATCTTTCAAAAAACTTTTTATTGCACCACATACCAGACAACTATTTATTTTCAGTTTAAAACCTTACATGCAAGCAAAAGCTAAGTTTTTCTCTGATTTCTCCCTCATAAAATACATTTATTGCGTCATAATATATTTCGGATAAGCTGAGTGAGCAGAATAAAAACTACGTTGGGGACACTAGATTGTATGAACACCAATTTAAATTTTTGAAAATGCATCTAAATAAATATCTTAAATATCAATAAGATTTCAATTGAGAAGTATCAAATGGGCATAAACAAGCAAGTAGGAAATTATTTTGCTGCTAAATTTAAGTGCAAAATTTATTACGAATAATCTTTCTTTTTTAGTTTGGTTTAATCATTTTGAAGACTATTATTATTTATGTACATTTTGGACTTATAATATTTTCCTTAAAAAATAAATGAATACTTCAGTTTTATTTATCTAATTCAGATTATGGAATTATTTTGTTATTAACTTTCGCATAAATTCAGGCTCTGTTCTGTGGGCTTTGGAAACAGAATTTACTCTCCGACTCTTAAATGTGTCACAATCCTTGAGGAATTCATTCAATATTATGAGTTCAAGTTAAGATTCCAGTTAAGACTAAGATATATATATATATATNATAATTATATATATATATATATATTCTAAATATCCAACTTACCATTAATTTTTCTCTGCAGTGGATTGTCTGGATCCATCTTGCACTGGTCATGGTGCTTGCGTGAATGGACAGTGTTGGTGCAAAACGGGATGGAGAGGAGTCAATTGTAGTGAAGCTGATAACAGGTTGAGTCGTTGCTTCCCTGATTGCAGCAAACATGGAGTGTACGATTTGGAGACAGAAAGTTGCATATGTTTTGATCATTGGGCTGGATCTGATTGCTCTAGAGGTACACATTAGACTTTTGTTTCAATAATTAAAACTGAATTTGAAGATAAATTCAAATGTTTAAATCTTTCGTAATTTTTACTTTTAATTTTTTTCTTAGAATATTTGTATGCATTAGATTATTTGTGTGCATATGTATTCGTTTTTATATCTACTTTAATTCATGGACATCTTTCTAATTTCGAAAGGCTATAAATAACAACAATAATAGAAAAGAAACTGTGAAAAGTAAAACTGATTAAAACCTCGTACGAATGGAAAAACAGTTCTGGTAAATTTATTGTACTGTGTGGTAATGACATTAATGGATAAAAAAAAACATGTACTTCCAATACTTGATCCAGGAGTTTTCTTGTCTTCTGGATTGAGTTCAAAATTACAAGGCTATGGAGTGGAAAATTAGTAGTCGTTAACACAATATTGAGTCGACTGTCCAACAGCAGTTATAAAATTAAATAAAATCACTTTCGTTGTCTGTAGTTCACTTTTCAAAGTGCTATTACTATTTTTAAAGACACTCCACGCTCCTTTTGTGATTATATAACAGCATATTATATTAATTGTAAAAATATTTTACCGATAGTTAAGAAAATACGATTATACTATATTTTAAAGGGTAAGACAAGAATTGACTGATTATTGATAAAGTCAGTTAAACTATTTGTGTGATTTATTTCTGGTGTACTTGTCATGAATTTTCGTCTCAATGTCTCCTTCTAAGGCAAAGGAAGGAATTTTAAATCTGCTATTACATTCATATATTTGGTTTTTGTTCGTATTATGTTTAAGATTATAACATTTTCCTGTTTTCGAATTTTCTTTTACTTCGTATTTTTATTCTGTGTCATTCAAATACAATTTTGTATAAAGCATCTTGTTACAATTTACAACATTATTCATTGTAGATTATTTTGAAATCAACTGATTGGAAAAAAAAGTACATGATAGAATAATATTTTAATAGGTTTAAAAATATACCCCAAAACCTGCTGAGAAAAAAAAATATTTTTAAAATAATTTTCCTTAAAAATATCTGAAATACTGAAATGGTAATTCCTTATTAAAAATTATAATTTTTTTTTACTCAGGGATTAGTTTGTTTGCTTACTTTTTACCTCGAGAATAACATTTAATTCATTCTCGTTTTAAGTTGAAATGGAATTGTTAAATAACAAAGCATGCCCTTTCACTCCACTGTCACTAAAAGATCATTAATTCTCAACGTGAAACCTGTTGTTATTTTCTACACTTGCGTAGCATAAAAAAAAAGTAAGTTTTGAGGCAAAGGCAATAAAACTAAATGCATGTAACATTTCAGCTCAAAAAACAACGTATTTTATTAAAAATAGACAAATCGTCTCAGTTTTTATATGCTTAAAAGCGGTAAAATAATACTATTAGCAGAAAACTGTTCATAGATACAACAACGTTATAGACGAATTTATGCATATAATGCTGGTATTTGCAATCAAATATCTATTTTACATACATTTGTTAGCAGTTAAAATTGAATGAAAAAGCCATATATTTCATATTTGATTTAAATACCATATATTTCATAAGAAAATCGACTAATCGTCTCTGATATATCACCGTTATCATCGAATTTATGTTTATAAAATTGGGATTTACAGGCTACTGTTTATTTTACATACATTTGTTTGCAGTTACCATTGAGTAAAAAAGCCATATATGGCATAAAAGCAGTATATTTCATTGAAAATAGAAGTTATCATCGAATTTATAATTATAAAATTAGTATTTGTCGGTAAAAGTCCATTTTGCACACAATTCCCTGCAGTTACTATAGAGTAACAAAGCTATGAGATGGCTTTCAGAAAAATTCTTCTTTACGTTGATTTAAAATTAGAGAATTGCTTGATTTGTAATCGGTCATTCGTATTTTTTTCTTAAAATTTAGTTATAGGAAATGAAACATATTCGTTTTCTAACAAAACGTATCAGAGATTATTGCAGTGCATTAAAATTTTATTTTAAATATACTTACTCGTAACTGTACTTGAAATATGATGTTTTATAGCAAAAAAAATTTAATACATGTAAGTATAAAAGTTGCTCCAATCAGTTCATTATGTATTTTTTTACTCGTAATATACAATATATATCTGACTTAATATAAAAACCATGCTTTTTAGCTTAGGGAAAGCACTATTATCTTAAAATTAACCTATTATACATTTTAACTATGCAGTAAAAGAAATAGTTCAAAAATTCCATTTTCCCGTTATCTGTTTCTTTTGTACACATTGCTGTTCTGAAATTCCACTTTGCCTATCGCTGATTTGCGTTTGTTTTCATTTTCTTCTGTTTTGAATTTGTCGTCAGTCAAAGAGTATCTAAAACTTTTTTAATCACACACATCAATAAATTTGAATATTTTCTTTGATTTTGGCGCAACGTGGAAGTATTCCGCCCTCGAAAATATTTATCATGCATTTTATCCAATCTGCATTTTTTAAGAATCTTACCTAGTTACTTATTTCTACAAACTGTCACCCCTAATAAGAGACTGTTAAAATTAACAGATGTGATATTGGCCTTAACTTAACGCGTGTACTCCTGAAAAACTTGACATTAGTGACATTACAATTAAGATTTAGAACAGAATGCAAATATATTACCTATGACCCGAAAATCGGTTTCAAGAACGTTTATTAAATACTTCTTGTTCTTTGGCTTCAGACAAGTAATTATTTGATTACTCAATTGAAGTCCATGCACTAATTAATGTATTTTTATTTAAGCAAAGTGAAATTATTTAAAACTTCGTGAAAATAAGTTGGAGAAAAATAAAATGCATTATATTCTTTTTTTTAAATACCTATGTTCCTAACTCTTAGCTCAATTACTTCAATAAGATAGATAAAAAGTATTTCTTGATTTGTTCTACTATCAGCATTAGTTTTAAACAAAGATACTAAGTAGAAATTTTTCTTCTAAAAAACATAGTCCATCAACATTTTTTTTAAAGGAAAAATGGTTGAAAAATGAGGTTGCTCGAAGCATTATTTTAGAAAAGAAACTTCTCTTCCGTGTCTCAAGAACGTTATAAATCAAGATCCTTGACGAGCCACAGCCGGCAAGAGGCGTTCGAAAACTAACTTTATTGAAGTTTCATTTTTGAGCTTATATTCTTTGGGTTCTATAAGTTTTCACCACAAATAATGTATTCAAAAAGGATTCTTACATATACTCTGAAAGTTTTCATTTTTCTAAGGTAATTTCATCTAATAGGTGATTAATTTTTATTATATTAATATTTTATTGCAATACATTTCTATAAAAATTATTGTTTTTTGAGTTAAAAAATATATATCTCTGTTATTAAACTGATTTTGCAGAAGCAATTCAAAAAGCTAAGGATAAGCTCATAATTTGCTTTAAAAAAACACAAATAGAAAATTATTCATAAAGATAAAATAACAATAATGACTCTGGAATAATTAGTGTCTTTAAGATACTTAATGGTTTAGTTAAAACTCGAAGTTAACTTCAAGAAGATTTCAGTATAGGAATGTTCTGAAAATTTCACCACTAGATCACGGTCAGTGACCAGCAAAATATATTCCAGTCATTGATTAAAATTGCATTCATGCCAATAAAGCTAAAAAAGCATAAAAAACAGGTCAGCCATAATTTCTCTTCCGTGAAATATTCAGCCACAGGCCTTAAATTAACATCATGGCAATAAAAGTTTTAGTCTTAGACATTTTTTGAGACTCAGCAGATTTGTTTGTTAAATTAAAGGAAATCGTAGTACTAGACTAAGTATTATAGTGCTGGCATCTATCGATGATTGAAAGAGATGTTTCAGTAATGTTCGTGCTCACCAATGTAAGAGATATTCCTTGGAGCTGACTGAGATCGAACCACAAGCTTTTGTGTTCGGAGCCGTTGCTGAAACCTGTAGCCGCCATATAAGAGAGTGTAAACCTCTAAATTGTCTAAATTGACCCCTTGCCGTCAGACTAACAGTGGGATGTTTCCTTGGTTGTTCTCTTCTTGTGTAACGCGAATGCGGCTTAAGTGCATCAAGAAAATCCATCACGAAGGCAAATTTTCTCCCAATATTTGACCCTGGAATTCCCTTGTTTTCTGGATTGTGTCAAAATTACAAGGCTACGAAGTTGAACATTGATAGTCGCATACCCATTTTTGGTTTGGCTGTTCAACGACGTTTATAAAATAAAATATATTGACTTGGAAAGCCGTGATGACTTAGGGGATAGAGTGTTCGCCTTCCAATGAGGTGAACCGGCTTTGAATTCCTGCACCGGCTGGTCGATACGAATTACGCATCCGGCTTGCGCTGACCACAGTACTGCGTAAAATATCCTCACTGGTAGACGAATCATGGGTTAGAGTCCCCTTGCCGTCAGATGAACAGTGAGAAGTTTTCGTGGTTTTCCCATTCCATGTAAAGCAAATGTGGTTTACTCCTATCAAAAAATCTTCCACGAAGGCAAATTTCGCCCAATACTTGATCAAAGATTTTTCTTGTCTTCTGGATTGGGTTAAAGATTACAAAGCTGCGGAGTTTAACATTAGCAGTCGTAAACCCGAAAAATTGGGTCTGATGTTCAACGACTGTAATAAATATAAACTTTGACATAGAAAGCTTTTTATCGCAATAATATAAACTAACGCTCAACTCTATCAATTTTGCTCAAATCCGTGGCAATTTCAGGCAGTGGACTTTAATCCGAAGGAAGTGAGGTAGCTGTAGAAATTTACCATCATCACTACTAATTTTGTTGATGCTCATTACAGTAAATAGCGCTTGGCTACTAGTTAGCTAGAACAGCTACTAGCTAGAAAGTATTAATTTACGGGCCAGCTCTCCGAATTTTAAGAAAATGATTACACTATGGAACACTTTTTTTTTTGTTTCGTTTGCATGATATTTTAAACAGATTTAAGATAATTTCGTATTGCTAATTTCAGTTTGGCAATCGATTTCTCCCTAAACAAAAGATTTTA